GTGTTTGATCTAACAGTGTGTGGTAGCATGTGGTTGATCTAACAGTGTGTGGTAGCATGTGTTTGATCTGGCAGTGTGCATTAGCATGTGTTTGATCTAACAGTGTGTGGTAGCATGTGGTTGATCTAACAGTGTGTGGTAGCATGTATTTGATCTGGCAGTTTGCATTAGCATGTGTTTGATCTAACAGTGTGCGGTAGCATGTATTTGATCTGGCAGTGTGTGGTAGAATATGGTTGATCTAACAGTGTGCGGTAGCATATGGTTGATCTAACAGTGTGCATTAGCATGTGTTTGATCTAACAGTTTGTGGTAGCATGTGTTTGATCTAACAGTGTGCATTAGTATGTGTTTGATCTAAGTGTGTGGTAGCATGTGTTTGATTTAACAGTGTGCGGTAGCATGTGTTTGATCTGGCAGTGTGTGGTAACATGTGTTTGATCTAACAGTGTGTGGTAGCATATATTTTATCTACCAATGCTTTGTGGCATGTGCAAACCACTCGGTCTCTCCTTTACACTGAAACTGCAGTCTCTCTTGTTGAGAATAGTTTAAATTAAAACACCACGGACAGTAACTTGTGGAGTTAAGCATATCGGTTTCTCTCATCTGGGAGTTTCACCGCTGAGATTCTAGCCCACTAAATCCACAAATTAGCACAAAACAATGTTTGAACCACAAGGACTGGGGGAGCTACGTGTGGCAGGACGGAGTCCCAACATCATTAGCTAACCAGCAGCACCTCGGCCCGGCTGGAGCGTTATGCCAAGCTGTAGCCTCCCCACAGCTAACGGTGTCCAGGGGCCTAATTGAGTGTGAGATACAGAGGAGCAGAGTTTGCTCAGACCGGTGCTGATTTGTCCAGCCCCTCTGCAGAAGGCGCTGCGCTGTCTAATATAGGCAAGAAATCAGCAGGGGGCCCTTTTCACGTTATCTCTCATCATCAGCTCCCTCGACCAGGAAGCTTCCACAACCACGGTGGCTGGGAGCAGCGTGTCATTTCCTGTGACTCATATTATGGCTGTAATCAGTCCCAGTGAACCCATTAGACGACCACCTAAGATGCCATTGGAGGTGGGTAGTTCAGGTCCAGAGAGTAAAATTCCAGATACACTCTGGACCTGAATTACCTACCCCTGGCTGCCGTCTTGAGTGGGGTCTGACTTAATGACTTAACAAACCAGCAGCACCCCCAGGAGTACCCACACCCCCCCCCCCAGGAGGAGCATGTGCAAGGCGGGGCCGGGGCACTGCCCACTGTCAGATTATTGCTCAGTTTGAGTGTCTGTCTGTCTCTTCAGCAGAGACACTCAGTGTTTTTCTGTATCATCAGCTGTGACATTTCACAAAGGCAAGTCTCATTCCAAATGAAAGGAAGACAATTACAGCTTTTGTCATTGGCATGTAATTGTTTTCAATAAATTGAAAATTCAGCTTGTCAGAATGAGAATAAATTAGAGGGATGATCTGAACACAGCTCCAGACATGTTGGGTGAAATCAATTTGTCTGTACTTCTAGTTATAGAATAATGTCTTCAAAGCTAAATTGCATCATGAAACATTGACAGTGAATGTATAAATGATCACACAAGCCGATGAGTGGGACTCGGTGATACAATGGCAACCATCCTTTAAATATTAAAAAATATTCACTTCATTTCACATACTCTGACCCTTCCCCCCCTCATCTATGGCTGAGCGTAACGGAGACAGACATACATTTGCATAAGCACCTACAAGTAACAGATGTTGCATATTTATTGCCACACTGGAGTAACTCTCAGTGTATGTATATTAATGCAGGTGAAATCTGGATTCTGTTTATGTGTAATGATATTCAGCTTATTCCTAGTAGGAAAGCAGTCATATTGAAAAAAAGTGCCAATGATACTGTACTCCAGAAAGGTTTGCTATGCCTTGAGTTACAATTATCAGGGCGGCAACTTCAATTTTACTGCAAGAAGTGGACTCCAGATCCTTTGTGAATGTGATGATGTAATGATACTTATTGGCATTGATACACAGCATTTATAATTTAGTGTCAGCTTTGGCATATACACATTAACAGCCATTAGAGATGCATGAGGATTTTAGATGTTATATGCTTGCATGGATAATTTAGAATAAAAACAGTGTAAGTGATTTATAGGCTGAACTGAGTCACATGACCTGCCAGGGATATCATACCTCTCCCAGGACAATATATCAAGTGGAACAATGGCCATCTTTGATAATGAGCCACGGTCAAATATAGCACAGAGGGGCAGTGCCTCCCCACAGCTCCCCAGAGTATAAATGACACCATAAAACAATTTGTGATTCTGTGATATAATAGACCCACAATTAGGAGATGACAGGTAAACACCAGCGCTGGCTTGCCCCCCCCCCCAAGTGTGCTAGAATTCACAAGACAACCTTTATATGATTTCAGAAGACAGTCGTTGGAGAGTTTCTCCATTTCATGACTATTCTGGGAAGTTTGTAACATTTTTTCCTCCTCATAAAAATATGCTGCATATCTACAAAATCTTTTCTTATGGTTTCCAGATACTCAAATAGGTCTCACAGCATCTTCTCATATCGGTCCTCTGGTTGCCAGACACCCCTGAAGTAATGTCCAAATAGGGGCAAATCTTGGATGTTTTTTTTTTTTGCTTGGGGAGCATAAAGAGGGCCACAATTCAAGCCGGGGGCCAAACTTATCAAGCAATTGTATGTTTCGAATTAGTGAGTGACAGCTGAGGCGCCACTCCGAGGGTCAATCAGTACTCGTGTCCCTGCCCCCTGCATACGCCCATGGTCCCATGTCCCCTAGTCAGACATCAGGCTGCTCTGACTGCAGGCAGCCTTACCTTGGATCTTAACCCCCTAAGGTGCCTTTGCAGACCTGGGGCTTCTCCCAGTCTTCCTTTGCAAATAGCAGACACACCTTGGTTGTGTTTATTCTCACCTAAACCTTTGCTCATCCGACTCTCTAATCTGGAGCTTCAACACCATGATTTTTATAATATGATCTTTATTACAAGGATTTGCGCTTCCTGCTATAATCCAGCTGCAGACTGCATTCACAACTTCTATTTTAGCACCGTAGTCAAAGCTCTGGAAAATGCATAAAACCAGAAGCTAAGGCTGCATTTAAATGTTAGTATTTAAGAACCCATAAGAGGATCCAATTCTGCTTTCCTCAAAACAGGTCTACAAGCAAGTCATTTTAATTGGTAGGAATTACAATTATAATACATTGGCTTCGAAGACAATGACTTGCTATAGCAAACATCAGAGGTAGACTAACAGCACAGGACACTAAGCAGGAGTAGAATAACCCAGCACAGGGCACTAAGCAGGGGTAGACTAACCCAGCACAGGGCACTAAACAGGCGCAGACTAACCCAGCACAGGGCACTAAACAGGCGCAGACTAACCCAGCACAGGGCACTAAACAGGCGCAGACTAATCCAGCACAGGACACTAAGCAGGGGTAGACTAACCCAGCACAGGGCACTAAGCAGGGGTAGACTAACCCAGCACAGGGCACTAAGCAGGGGTAGACTAACCCAGCACAGGACACTAAGCAGGGGTAGACTAACCCAGTACAGGGCACTAAGCAGGGGTAGACTATCCCAGCACAGGGCACTAAGCAGGCACAGCCTAACCCAGCACAGGGCACTAAGCAGGGGTAGACTAACCCAGCACAGGGCACTAAACAGGCGCAGACTAACCCAGCACAGGGCACTAAACAGCCGTAGACTAACCCAGCACAGGGCACTAAACAGGAGCAGACTAACCGAGCACAGAGCACTTAACAGGGGTAGACTAACCCAGCACAGGACACTAAGCAGGGGTAGACTAACCCAGCACAGGGTACTAAGTAGGGGTAGACTAACAGCACAGGACACTAAGTAGGGGTAGACTATCCCAGAACATGGCACTAAGCAGGGGTAGACTAACAGCACAGGACACTAAGTAGGGGTAGACTAACCCAGCAAAGGGCACTAAACAGGTGCAGACTATCCCTGCACAGGGCACTAAGCAGGAACAGACTAACCCGGTACAGGGCACTAAGCAAGGGCAGACTCATCCAGCACTGGGCACTAAGCAGGGGTAGACTAACCTATCACAGGGCACACACACACTCACAAACTATGCGCAATTTAGAGATGCCATTTAGATTAACTGCATATCATTACACTCTAGAAGGAAACCAGAGGTCCTGGAACAGTCCGGTACCCCACAGGGAGAACAGAGAGAATACTCCACACAAACAGAGGCAGCCACTAAGGTACCAGCATAAAATACATACTGCGTCATTAGGGGGAGACTTTTTCCAAATGAGTGCTGAATGGAGAGTGACAGCTCTCCAATAGCGCGTCCTCTACTGGTGACAAACAGTGACAGGCACCTCAGGAACCAGACACGGACTGTGACTTCTCACTGATCCGACTGCCATGAGTCACAGTTCCGAGACCTGAGAGCCAGTGCTCACCCCAAATTGCTTCGGCTTAATCTGTATTGCGCAGTTCTTCACTACAATAAAAACTGTTGTGGATAAATGTGTCTGCGAAACAATTAATAATGTTAGCACTGTAGACTTGATAAATGGACTCGCTACACTGCAGCAGCAGAAAGTACCCTGACCACCTACGGTTGTTAGGGATGACTGCCTGTATCAGCATGAGGGAACAGCCAATCGCAAGGCTGGCATGGTCTTGCTGTCTACCAGGTAAATAATTACGTGATTACACAATATGACGATTCTGACATTACCTCTCTTCTTTTTAAAATAACGTTTAAAATACATCATTAATTCATTAGGCCATATTACTTAATCATGAACCTCTTACTCATGCATAAAGTGTCATAATATGCCTCATTGCCACAACATATCACTGGTAAAAATGTGTTAGTGTAATTATACCATAAGACACTTGCAATGAAGGTGTTGTTTAAATGATGTAGCTCCTTACCGCTTTTGGCTTTGCAGGAGCTCCTGTCCGCCTGCAGGATGTAACCTTCTGTGCAGCTGCATCTGTATGATCCATACGTGTTCATGCAGGTCTGACTGCACATGCCGTACACGCTACATTCATCATAATCTACAAAGCGGGAGAGAACAACCTGTTAGAGAGGCTTCATGTGACCCTCCGCTGCCACCTAATATACCTCCAATGCTGTGACTTTGTTGATTCAGTCTGAGGTGATAGTTTTATATGCTGTAATTTGAAGAGCTAATAGCTCACAGTGCTAATAATCCATCCATCCATCCAACTTCGGAGCACTTTTTGCTGGTGAGGGATGCAGTGATGCAGATGTGAGTTTGCTGGTGCTTGTGCCCATCAGCATAGGGGAGGAGGCAGGGGAGAGCCTTGGATGGGGTACACACACATGCGTACACGTATACCTGTGCACACACACACACACACACACACACACACAAGCGCAAACATATGCGCATGCACACACACATACACACACATGCGTACACGTACACTCGCACACACACATACACACGCATGCATGCACACACACACTCACACACATATACACACACAAGCGCACACACATATGTGCATGCACACACACGCACACAAGCGCGCGCACACACACACACACGTGCATGCACACATCCACATACAAACGCGCACACACAAGCATGCACACACATGCACATGGGCACACTAACACATACACACATGAGACTTTTGGCATTTTCAGTATTTTCATTGCGTACAAAGGCCTTTGTGAGGACCTGAAAAATTGTCCCCACAACATCAAAATAACAGGGGACATTTGGCCCCCACAATGTAATATAAGCATAATCCACGCACTTGTAAACTAAAGGTTATTTACAGATCAGTTTGCTAAACTAGGACAGAGAAGGAAACCCAGTGAGAACAAGCAGATGTACAGAGATTGGGGACAGAATGCAAAGCCACTACCCTGATGTCAGGGTCCAGCACTGCTCACTGCACCACCATGCGACCGTGACCTCAGGGTCCAGCACTGCTCACTGCACCACCATGCGACCGTGACCATGAGGATGATAAATGTGTAAAAATTCATTTACTGCTTTCTGTCACTGGCCGTTTGTTATTAACATGCTTTGTGTATAAAACCAAAGACAAAAGAAAAAAAATGATAACAACAAATAAAATTTGTCTAGAGCGGAAAGCGAGCCTTTTATCATTGAGCAGAAAACAAGGAATGTCCCTGGCCATTAGATGAATACTGGCTGATAACGGACAAGGCCGCGCAGTCCGCTGATCATAAATAAAGAATGTTTATTACCCGCGATGTGAGTGACACTCCCAGGGAGCGTGTCTTTGTGTGTCTGTCTGGACCTCTTAAAGAAGCAGCAGCCCTACGAATTCATGCACAACCCCCGATCCCCCACCCCTGGCAAGCAATACACACCTCTACAGCTGCGGCCATCAGCCTCCACCTGGAAGCCGTCTCCACAGAAGCAGAAGGTCCCGTTCCTGGCCATGACGCAGCCGTAGCGACAGCGCAGCTCGTGGCAGCTGGGCAACAGCTCTGAGAAGGAGGGAGGGAAGAATGGAGTGAGGATGTGGATAAATCGCCTTCATTTCGCCTTCCTCAGGGCCCGTTTCCCCATCTAAATTTCCCTTTCAGGCACCGATGATGATGCGATAAGTTGAAGGGGTCTCAGGATCAACAGGGTAAAGAAGAATCTGAGATAAGATTTCAGGCAAAAAAAAATATATCCACCAAAGGGAAGCTACACGTCCTGCAATGGAAACGCCACGATAAGCACTTTAGAAGAACATTTTAAGCAACACTACCTGTGCAATGTGTGATTACAGGAATCGGCCATGAAGTGTCATGGCCGACCCCAGCAAGGAAACATTCATCTGGCATCAAGGTGCCAATTTCATATCATCTCCGGTGAAATTTTCAGTTTTGTAGAGCAGTCCAAGCGCAACAGCATGCGTCTATAATTGATATATCAAAATGTGAAAAGTAAACAGAAGAAGTATGGGGTCTCTTTGCTTGTCACAGAGGCCCCCGTCGCAGTGTCAATGTCATCGCAGTGTCAATGTCATCGCAGTGTCAATGTCATCGCAGAGTGTCCATGTCATCGTCGTCTTTGAACTCTGAGTGTCAATGTCATCACAGTTGAGATACAGATAAATAAGACGTGTGTTTCCTGCATGCAGTCAGTAGTTTCTTTCAGTTGGCTGTTTATTACTATGCAGTACATGGCTCACCCAATAGAAAGCACATATCATATCACTTTTAAACTATTTCCTTTGATATATTAGGTAAAATTACACACCGACCCCAGGTTCCTGTCAATAAAACGCAGTAAACGGGAATTTAAAGTGCATCATGTCTTAATGTATCACGGCAACCGCGATGACTGCCCTCAACAACGCACATCCTTCAGAGAGCTGTCCGACACAAGCTGCTGTTCACTGCGTTTGAACTGCCTACTGTATCTATCACTCCTGAAACACAAAGAAAAAAAATGCCATTATTTACTAATGCTGGCACAACACGAGCTGGGATCAAGTTCAATAAATTTACTGTTAATACCCGATGGTGCTCGATTCTTTTGCTGCCTGGACAGAATGACCTTGTTACTATGTGCTCTAAACAGCAGCTCAGCTGTTTCACTAAACTCATTCTTTCTGGATGTTGCAGTCAGATCAAGGGAGTGACAGCTTGATATTAATTTAGAAGCATGTCAGGTGTTTACATATGGGATGGACCCTATATATCTGTGAGTTCTGTTAGAGTTCTGTTAGTCCTCCGTGTATGTCATAGAATGACATTTAGTCTATGCCTTACATCACGGCTCAAAAACATTAGAATGGGTGCTTTGTATCACTTAGGTACCTAGCAAGTTACTATAGCGTCCATCCGCCCATCATGTCCAGTACAGGTTCACGCTAAACCTGGAGCCTATCCCAGGTAGCATGGGCTGTGTGCGGAGGCCATGGCTGGGTGAATGCAGTGTGTTCACCAAGACCGTCCCTATGCAGAGACCTTGTACAAATCCGAGGATGCCGCTCACAAAGACCGTCCCTATGCAGAGACCTCCTGCAGGTCCACCGATGCCGCTCACCAAGACCATCCCTATGCAAAGACCTCGTGCAAATCCGAGGATGCCGCTCACAAAGACCGTCCCTATGCAGAGACCTCATGCAGATCCACCGATGCTGCTCACCAAGACTGTCCCTATGCAGAGACCATGTGCAGATCTGAGGATGCCGCTCACCAAGACCATCCCTATGCAGAGACCTTGTGCAAATCCGAGGATGCTGCTCACCAAGACCTTCCCTATGCAGAGACCATGTGCAAATCCACCGATGCTGCTCACAAAGACCGTCCCTGAGCAGAAACCTTGTGTGGATCCATGGACACTGCTCACATAGACTGTCCCTGTGCAGAGATTGTGTGTGGATGCCCAAATGGCTCTTTCCTTATGAAATGTGCCTATCATTGCCACATATTATGAAAGTTCCTGCTTGTTTACTGTTTACTGAGGCAAACATCAGTCTGTGATGCCCTGAGTAGGTGCCCCACCATTAACATTTAAATTTTATTTCCCTCAGGGAGCCAGCACAGTCTGATAGTACATGAGTGAGCATTAGGGCGGGGGGAGGCTTTATCAGACAAGCCTTGGGGCTCAAGGTCCCTGACCAGGTGGGAGTCAGAGTAGAGCCCTCACTGTGCTGGGCACATTAACACCAAACTGCCTGGCCTAGCAAACCTCTCTGCTTTGCACTCACATACCTATTGCACTGCAGATTCTGTAAAAGAGAACTTTTATTTTACCGTATTTGGATATGGACATAAAATGAAGCTTTATCTGCCATTTGTACGAAATCAGGTATTTCAGAATGTATTTGTTTACACATTTCCCATCATGCACTCCTTTTAAGGCACACATATATAAACTTGAGAGCAAAGTTTGGGGTCTAAGCACAAGGTCAGCCATATATCCGGTACCCTAGAGTTAAGGGACCAACCAGGATATGACCATTCTGCCAATCATGGGATTTGAACCAGTGATCTTCCAACCATGGGTCCAAAGGCTGAACCCACTGGGTCATACAGCACCGCAAAGGAAGTGAGACAATAAATATGTTTCACTATGGGAACATGTGACTCAGTTATAGGCCCAATCCCAAACCGGTCCCTACACACTCCGCCTCACCACTCCGCCTTCGTTTGCGCGTTCCTGAGACCAGTCGCCATGTTGAAATGTGTCTCAAAGCAGCAAGAGCAAAGGGGGAGTGGTGGATTATGCAACGATGGTGGCTGGCGCGATTCCACTACCACTTCCATATCCCACAATTCCTAGCGCACAGGAAACAGAACAGCGCGAAAAAAGAAAAAAATACACAATGTCATGTTTTTGATAATGTAATAATTGGATTGTAACAGCACTGTGAAATACACACAGAAAGTCTATGTTACATGTTACAATTCATCACTGCAGAAAAAAAAATTAGGAAAGCAGCTATTTATAGCTGGTCAGTACAGGTAGATTTTATCGTGATCTGATTAAGAAAGATTTAGTGTACTTTACAAACTAGAAACCACACGAAGAAACGTTCGTACACAAACTTGATCAACATCACACCAGCAATAACAATTTTAAGTTTCATATTTGCCTGTTTTTTCCTCTACATATCTGGATCTGGTATTTGGTACAGAAGTAATGCGTAATGTTTTACGCGTGTAAACTAAGTTAGCTATGGTAGAAATTGTACAATCGTCAATATGACACGTGTACATACTTCAAATTGCTCAGTCAGTGCAATAAGACGACGTAGCCGTCATCTTCTCGCATTAGATAAACTTTGTGCTTCTTTAAATAACTGATATGTCATTAAAGAAAATACAATACAGCTTCTTCATTTTGTCAGATCACTACGTAATGCATTTGTAGTGTCGAGGGTATAGTTTGGGATTGGGCCATACTGTTATCAGATTGAAAGAGAGGGTGACAAAGCATTATGGGAAACATTTCCACTGGTAAATTAAAAACTAGAAATAACAGAATGCTTTTCCGTTCCTTGTGCTACACTCTGCGCCAAAGTTGATTACTACAGGCATTACTCCTGCTATGAATTGACATGGCTTCCAAATGAGCACAATGCCCTCGATCTGTTTCTTCTTCACTCGTCTGTTTATCAAAATCGGCATGTTCCTTCAGGTCTATGCATTACTTAGGTTTGATTTGCAAATGCTTGATGTACAAGAGTAATGGTTAGAGGGACCATCAATTTAGCATACTTAACAAAATGTGACATAATAATAGGGTCAGTTCATCCGGTGATTTCTTTCATGCATCTGCTGGCATCTTGTCTTGTCAGCTCAGACCATTTAGATCTTCAGTATCTGATTGAGTATATTGACAAACGGGCTTTTGTAGTTAAACTCACAACCCCGGAAGGCTAAAGTCCCCTACATGGCTGAATCCATGAAAGGATGCACGCGTAATATGTAGCCCCAGTCAGTTAAGCCCAAATCAAGCGCAACAAGCTCAGACACCATCTGCAGTACAGAAAAAATATGAGCGGCTCATCTTTACAGAACACCCCTTGAGTAAGAAGTAAGCCATGGATTTATTTGCTGGCAAATAATTGAACATTAGGGAATGAAGAGTATAAGTGGGGCTGAATTTTAGTCAGCATGGGAGATACAGATTTAGAATCATATCATGTACTCCATTATTTTTTAATTTTTTTAAAAAAAAGCTTCCATTGCTTATAAATACTGAAAAGAAATTTGAATGAAATTAAAAGTCATAAAACATGGTGTGAAGGATGTGCGGAGGCAAAACCCACAGCCATGTCAGGAGATCAGGGTTATTCATCCTGATTAGCTCCTTCTGTCTCCCACTATCTGTAATAAATTAGTGTTTTCTGATTTGTTTCACCTCAGTGAGTTGGAACGCAAATCCCAAGACCTCTATGCTGCTCCTCTACAGATATTTCCCGTATTCATCCTTATACCTCAGCCCCATGTTTGCTTATCCTTCCTTGTCCATGACGCCAACTCTCAGCTCTCTGTTGGCTCCACCCCTCCCCCCTAAACAGGAAGTGAACCAGCCCCTCATTGCCAAGCCCCACTGTCAGCCTGATTCACGATCAAATTATAAAAACTTTCAGGAACTGTTACCAGCAGAGTGTCATTAAATAAACACTGGATAAATATATCTGTTGTATTCCTTAATACCATCAGGATCATTGAGGACATTTTAGTCATAATTTAAGCAGGTTTTTAAACATTCAGAAACAGGTCTGTGAACACACTTAAAACTAAATAAAATAATTGACCTAAGTAGGGATTTCATTTCCATTCATTTTCAGGCTAGTATGATGTTGTGAAGTTATTTATGTTGCATAAAAACAGATTTAATAGATTATTACATATTCATTGGGAGAGCCGTGCTAATGATGAGTTTGATGCCTTTGGCAGGTGATTTGAAATTCTAACAGATCGACCCCAACGCCCAGCTGGGGGTGAGAGAGAGGTGCGGATTTAAGGAACCGTAG